CAGCAGCACCGATGATAGTACCTCCAGTGCCAGCAGCGTCGCCTCAAGCAGCAGCGGCTGCTGCGTGCGCCTCACCAGCGACCCCCTCAAGGTGGTGCTGAGCAGGTTGATACCCAACAGGCTGGTGCGTACCAACGAAGCGAGTGCAGGCCGAAAAGTCGCTTGCAGACTTACTGCAATTGTTTTCTGTCATTAGCGTCGCATCAGGCGTGCTGCCAGGCCGCCTGCAGCGGTCATGAAGTGCCTTCGTTGCCCATTCAAACCTCCCGATTGACAGCTGCTGGACGACGTCCCGCTGCCATCCCTGCACGACTCATACCACTTTGGTGCGCACGCCATTTTTTACTGCATTGATCGCTGTCCAACACAAAGGTGTGATTGGCAACCGCCTCCCTGTGACCAATACATTGCTCGGCATCCCAGCCTGTTTGATTTGCTGTGCGGCATCTCCTCCTCGCGCGGCATGGCAAGGCGTGACTGATTGCTTACGCCAAACCCCCCGTGTGCAGTCAATTTAACCAACGGCATCGAGGCGTTGCCAATGCTCCATCGGCTGGGCGTTCCATACAGGTGCACTCCCCGCCTGCATGGCGCCCGCCTTTGCGGGGCAAGGGGGCCTGCGAATCGCCCCTCCCGCTCATCGACACAGTGGCCTCAACGCACACAACAAAGCAACACTTCAGAAGATACTGAAACCCTGCACACATTACACTGACGTGCTCGCCGAATATAGTGTAGGAGCAAGGACCGCACAGTATGCCGAAAGAAGGGCTGCGCACTTGTGGATTGGTGGCAATTCCTTTCAGCTCTAGGATCCAGCACTTTCGCTCCTCCGTGCGACTAACACCTCAATCGGCCATCCCCCTCACCTCACAAACCCCAACCCTGCTGCAGCTTCTGCCGCATCTGCTCCACTGATATTGAGCAGCAAAACTTCGAGGCCCTCATCTCTGGGCTCGACGCCAACTTGCTCATGCACCTGGCGCTCGGCCACAGGTGCGGCGGCAAAGCAAGGGTGTTAAGGGCGTGGCGGGCGGCCCAACAAGCAAGGGCGCGCAAAGCAGGGTGGGGAGGCGAGGAGCATAAGGCCCAGAGTGGCTAGGAGCACTCTTCCCGCGGCGTTGCTTGGAGACTTGCTAATCACGCTTGCTTGCGCCTTCCTCCGGCTGTGCTCGCGCTGTGCACGTGACCGCCAGCTGCTGCGTGTGGGACCTGGGCTCCCGCAACAAGAAGCGCGGCGCGCCGCGCGCCATATGGGCGGGGCTCGAATTCGTGCGCTGGTGCCTGGAATCGAAGTGGCTCGAGCCTGAGGGCACAGCACCCCAGGGCATCGGCGAGGGGGCGCAGGGCGGTGGGGCCACCGCAGCGGCGGCCCAGGCGTGGCCGCCGCAGGCGCACCTCAGGGGCCACCGCGTGACGGCCACGTTTGAGGGGCACAGGCGGCGTTTCTCTCAGAGCACCAAGCGAAGGCTTCTGTACTACAAGCGGTGAGGTGGCGGAGGGCGGGGGATTGAGAGGGGTGCATCCCCTGGAGCATGCAGCGCACAGCCAGCGCTTGGTGGGCCATGCATCGTGGGCCACCACCCAAACGCGGCGCCCAGCACCTGGCACGCGGGTGCGTGTGCACATCAGCTCGCGGGGCAGCTGTGGAGCGATGAGCGTCCACATTTCCTTCGCGGCTGCATCCTTGACAACCGCCTTCTTAGGTACGTGCCGGAAGGCACCAGGCGGTTGCAGCTGTACGGCATCTACAGGTGAACAAGCTGCAGGGCCGGCATCGCGACTGCTGCGTTGGCACCGTCATTGCTGCGTGCGCACGCGCCCTGGCCTGCCTCGCGCTCCTCGCTTCCAGGACGTCCACTCACTGGAACCATTCAAGACTGCCTCAGCTCGATCCGTCCTCAACTTGTGTTGCAACGTCCCTGATCCAGATCTACAACCAACGATAGCAACAAGCAGCACTACATAGATCTTGTCCGGCAGTGGGACCGATCGCCGCAGCTGGTGGTGCCAGGCTCGGCCTGGCCTGTTCAGCAGCAGCAGCAGCAGCAGCACGAGGAGCAGCAGCAGCAGCAGCACAACCAGCACCAGCAGCAGCAGCCGCCGGGGGAACCCAACGGACAGCCGCAGCAGGCAGGGGATGGCAGCGGCGTCGGTGAGGTTCCCGCGGCGAGCGACCCGCTGTTGAGGGCGCGGGGCCTGGAGGCGTGGGAGGCGGTAGCTGCAGATGGCTGGGGGCTGTTTGCAGGCGGCCTGGGCCATGAGCAGTACTTCCCAGCTCTCCGGGTTATGGGCGTCGACAACCAGGACGTTTCGTGATGTAATTGTTGCGGTTTCTTCCTGCACAGCCGAGAGCGCCTGGGTGGGGGTGCCAAACATGCGTCTGGTGGGCCTGGCAAAGTTCATCCTCCTGCAAACGTGACCGATTCGGAAAGCGCATGCTCCACAGGGTGCGGCGGCCGTCCTGCCGGGGCAACAGCAACAGCAACCAGGCTTCCCCTCCCTTGATGCGTCGGTGGCGGCTTTGACAGCATGGCCCCCAGCTCGCCGGACTGGTGGCTCTCAGAACTGGCATGGGAGCGTCCCTGAGGGCCCCCAACCAAACCTCACCGATCAGAGTTATGCCCAGTGCCCTGGATCAAAGGATGCGCCATGCAGCTGCTTCATGCAACGTGCTTGTTGTGCATGCACGGGTCCTGTGAGGGCGGGTATGCGCTTCCTCGCTGCAGGCAACACGGGGGGCCTGGTGCACGAGCCGGTGCTGGTCAATACTTGTCCCACCTGCGCTGTCCCCTCACCTTCCTAGCCCAAGCTGCACAAACGAACGCAGGTGCCGCCAGGGTCCGCAGCACAACGAGCGTTGCACAATTACAACGATAGAATCGGCCTAGGAAGGAACACAAGGACTGGTCGAGGACTCCGGCTGACTGCTGCACGGGGATGGCTTGGGTCTAGCCCGCAGGAACAGCCATGGAGGTCGCGTGCGGGTGAGAAATTCAGGCGTCTCAGCATCGCAGATGTGCGGCCTGCGTCTCAGTCGGCGCTGGGATGACCCGATTATTGGCACCCTGCCGTCGCCTCGCAGGCCCGCCTGGTGCGATGCCGGATCGGATGTGTCTTCTGAGCTGTGCGCGCTGTTGCAGGTGCGGGCCACGTGCTTGACCCCCCGGGTTTTCGAACGGCGTGGGGTGCTGGATCATGCCCGTCACAGCAATTGCTGGGCCACGCGCTGTCATGCAATATCGGCACACAGTCCGTCGACCCACCGTGCCTGCTGGCGTGCTGGGCCGTGTGCGCTGGTGTTGTGCGCGACAACCAGCTGAACAGGCGGCTGAGCGTGCCCCGCAAAGCAGGCGCCGCTTCGCGCCGCTCCCCCCCACCC